CTATTCAAATCCCCTGTGATTAGACATGGTCACCAAATCACCAACAAGTAAGACACAATGAAAATGAAGAACAAAAGTCAAACAATCGCCTAGAAAATAACAGGAGACCATGTAAAACCACCAAGCCAACAAGCACCCCTTCCTTCACACAGAATGCTCATAGCAGCATTTCACCCAATAGGGATGGAAGAGCTGGTGCTTAATGCTGACCCTGGAAACTTGCCCAGAAGTTTTTACACCACTCAGCACCCTGTGCATAAAAGGGCAGCAGTGGTGACACTCCTGGTGAACTCCCGCTGGCCAAGCTGTCTGGCAGGTATAGTTTAAAAAGCTGGGTTTGGAAAATATTGCCTTTTTATAGCTTATCTCAGTGCAGACAGCTGCCTCACACCTCTAGAAATAGCAGGATTTAACAGCCATGTTTGCAGGGACAGATTTTAAAGGTTCCATCTTCTAAGAAACAACCTACACACTCAGAAACAGGAGGCCAGATTTGTTTTGGTACTGGAACCCCCTTCCATATGCTAAGCATACCCACGGATTTGCAAAAACCCTGCTCTGAAAATGGGATGTTCATTCAGCAACAGGCGAACAGTAACTGGCGTTTGCCTTCCTATAGAGTCTGCTCCCAGCACCACCAGCAGAGAAGTAGCAACACGATTCGGCTGATATTGCCTTTTGCTGAAAATTGCTGGCATTTTAGAAGTAAAATAGTGGTGGAGGAGAGCATTAAACTCTGCAAAAACAAGACTAATAACTTAAATACAAATACCCCACAGGCAAAGCCAATCGGCACCTCTCTGTTGTGCCTCTTAAGATGGAGCAAGTCAGGATCAGATCCCAAAGCATTGTTTTGATTTGTCTGAGGTGATAAGGAGTGAGCCAAGAGATTCACTCCTGGGTCAGTCCCACGGCTGCAAACCCCAACCCCAGGAGTCTGGAGGAACTTCTTCAGCCTCCTCAACTCTATCATGCTGGGGAGTGCAATAGGGATAATATTATTTTCCTACCTTTTAGAAATAAGAAGCTTTTTTAGATAAGAAGCATCAAATTCCCATGTATTTAACACTGGAAGTGCTGATGCTATGGATGTAAATGACTCCAAATCCAACAGAGCCCTGCAGAATTTCCATGGTACCACCTTTTACTAGCAGTAGTTGGACCAGTTGACTACAGTATCTTCCTCATCAAGAAATTTTCAATCTTTTTCTTTTAACTGAAGGAAGGGGTACTAAAGAGAACAACCTGCTGCAAAATGACCAAAATTCCTATGCAAACAACTCATTAGCAGTGCTCAAATGCAACTTAAATTACTAGTTGTTAAAGTGCTCCTCAATTTCACGGTAAGTTTCCAAGCAAAATTACATGCTATGTACTATTTAATTGATTGTTTTCTACTTCTTAACATCCATTTATTCCCTCCCCCTGTCCTTTTCTTAATTTCAAGGGATGATAATGACTTTTCAGGGAAGAAAGGGGAACAGTAAATGGAGTTGAAGAAGGATTTACCTGAAGAACAAGGATGTAGGAGGGAAGTGGCTGCCAAAACCAGGCAGCTTCACCAGAACCCGTCCCTCTGATATTTTTGCAGTAGGGGTGTGAGACAACACAGCACAAGGATTCTTTTCCTCTCCACCACAGGCAGCCAGGCTTCTGAAACCTGATATTTCTTTAGAACACTGTCCTCCCCACCAGGACAAGCAGTAAGCACAGTTAACTATTCCAGAACATCAGTAAAGCAACAAGAGCAACTCCTTTCCTCCTTCTGGGCACGTTTGTCCTTGAACCAACACACCCACTGGAGGCAAACAAGTTGTTCTCACTTGGAGATCTCATCCCAAATGCAAATACCTAACTCACAGGAGCAAAGTCCCCCCCAAAGCTGACTGAAGAATTAAGCTGTGACTGAGACTTCCTGCTGTGTGACCAGCTGGTACAGGAGAATGTGTATGATAAAGCTAATAACAACAGACATTTCTTCAAAGCCTGCACTCCACTCAGATCCCAGGAAAGAGCAGCCATACAATTAGGTGAGGTGCCATCTGGAAATTTCTAATGTAGTGATTCGTGTTGAGATCATGCCCCACACCAGCAACACAGATCAGCTTTATGAAATACTCAATGCCTCTTGGTTTACCTTTAAGCAACTGATGCAGAAATATTTTGTGCTCAGAAAAGTATGACTTTATTAGAGTAAGAGAGATGGGTTTAACAGCATTACTGCCCGAGGCCACAAAGCACCCACCTGTCTGCAGGAGCTGAGCACAAACCATCATATGAAAACAGAGATTTGCACTTTTCCCTAATCTGCTACACAGTGCCCTAATTTCTGTGCCTGCACACAACAATAACACTACTTTCCTCAGCATTCAGGCACAATTTAGCACTTAAGGGATCTGAAACCTTTGCCTAAAGAAACACAAAGCATAAAATGTGCAGAGGTTTGTAACCTTCACCCGTTCCGTGCCCACATGTGTCAGTCCCATGCTATCTGGGGCAGCTTCTCTTACCTGCTGTGGGGCACGTACACCCAGCCCTCAGTGCATACTGAGCTCCCTCAGAGCACTCAAATCACACTGCTGGTGTAACCCCTTTGCCAACTATGCAGTGCCAGCTCTGGATTGATCAGGGCAACAGCCAGGATGAAGGATGGGCTGTGAACCCAAACCTCCCTACATGGGAGATAAAGCAAGTCCTTTGCATTTAACACATCATTAAAAGAGATTGAGAGAAGCTTAAGAAAGGCAGGCATGGAGCTCTCTGAACACTCTTGAGGGCCAGTGCCATGGAAGGCTTCTCAGGCTGGAGTGTTTACTAGATGCCAGGCTAGAGGAGGGGAAAAAAAAATCTTTAGACAGCTGTATTAATTTACAGGTCAGCCCTTAATGGCTCTGTTCCTGGAGCAAGAGAAAATCCTTTGTGGATCCTGGATAGCGTCAGTGGTCGCTGAATCTGCTCAGGTCCTGGAGAAACACCAGATGGAGAGCCCTGGCAGCCTGCAGTCCCAGCTGTGGGCATGGCCTCGTCCTCCAGAGCTCCCCCAGCTCTGCCAGCACCCACCAGGAAAGGGGGGCACAGGCAGCACATGGGGAGCTCATCCTGCACAGTCTGTCCAGCTCTCAAGTCACGTCCTCGCAGGGGTGAGGTGTTGCACAGAGAAGGATCAGCACATGAACATTTCCCAGACGTGCCAGACTAGCCCTGCCTGGAGCACTGGGTTACGGCACCCAGGCACTGCTCATCCTTGTCTTCCAACAAACAGCACGTCCTGGGGAGCAGGAAAGGGAAGAAACTGCGAGGGGAACAGAACATCATCATTTCCAGTCCCACCGTGCTGTTCCCAAAACTCCTAGCTCAGCCACAGGCAGCTGGTGAAGCCTGGATGTGCCACCAGAAGCACGGCCATCGCACAGGGGCACGTGTGCACAGCAGAGCAAAGCACAGCACACACGGAGCAACACAGACCATGGTCCCACTGCCACAATTCCACAGCTTGGCAGCACCATGCACGACAGAGGATGAGTGTCTGCTGGAGGAGTCCTTGGGCCAAGGCTTCAGGTGCTGTGACAGCTCCATACATGTCCCCAGGGCCCTGTTTCCTGAGCCATTACCTCCCCTGCCCGTCCAGGCTGGGCACTCTTTAGGACAGCAGTTCTTCCCTTTGCACCAAGCTCAGCTCAGCCAGGCCCTGACCCCAAAAGCTGCAGTAATCCAATCAGCCTTTTGAAACAACAAAGATTAAAATACAGCTGAACTCTACAAACCCCCAGCACGTCTCAGCCACAGAAAAGGCTCCAGCAGTCCTTCATCACTTTTTGTGGCTGAGTGTTTTCTATCACACATCCATCCTCACACTAACTATCCTTCCCTGTTCAAGAGAATCCAGAGAGTTTTGTACCTCAAGGACCTGCTGCAAATCCACAGCTCTGGAAAAACCAAGGAGTACTAAGCCCTATTTAAAAAGGCAAATTAAAATCGACAGGAAGTTTACCTTTCCAAGAAAGGTCTTAAATTTAAGAGGGAGAGTATGAAGCAACAGGTCTGAAGAAGCCTAAAAATGCCAGTTAGCTGAGAAGATACAAGGATTACTAACCAGCATTGGGAACTATAAAAGGGTTTTCACCAATGCCCCTTCCAAAGTAAAAGGACGAAGCGCAGTGGCGCAGGACTGGCTGCTCCATGACCCCCAGAGCAGTGTTAAAAGCACTCTGTACATGTTACATGCTCCAAATGACAAGAGGAATGCAGGATGGTGGATCTCTGCTCCAGATTCCTCAGCATGGTTTTAGCTGCCATGAATAAAACAGGAAGCAGAGCATCTTCCAGGTTCCCCCCACAGCCCTGATTGTCTGGATGAACTGCAGCTTCCTTTCAGGAAATGGAAAGGAAAGAGCAGGAGGGGGGGAGGGAGAGGAAAAAATAAAAATTAAAAAAAAAAGCAGCAGCCAGCTACAATACTACAATATCAGACAGATTAAAAACTTAACACTAAGGAAAAATACAGAACAACAGGAAAAAAACAGACACTCAAAGTTGATCCTGTTACAGTAGCTAAACTTCAACTAAGAGAACAGAGTTAAATATTAACAATTGAGAGAAATACATCCATGTGTTATACAGCCTTTTATCACATACTCCTGCTTAAGAAACAGAAACCATACATAAGCTGTGTTTTCCTTGCTGACCACATGAATATATCCTCCTTTGCTCTACAGTGCTCTGCTGCCTTGCTGCACGAACAAGTGAAAATAAAAGGAAAAGTGTGACTGAATGGGAGCTGGCTTAAATTATCTTTATACCTATTCCTGAAGAAACATTTTGCCTTTGAGACCAATCCACTAAGCCAACTCTCCCTGCTACAGGTTTCATTGGGTCCCTTGCTGTTGATCCACATGTCTGCCTCCACCAGCAATGCACACACTTTGATGTAATACATCTGACTAAACAAAACAACAAAAAAAATCCCAAGTTGCTTGCTATAACAGCAATGATGCACTTACCAGCATTCAGGCAAGTTCCTTTGCTAACATGCTTCCCTCTCCAGCACATCAAATTTGGAACAAGGTCCAGGAGCAAGAGAGAACTGAAAACTGACCACAACAAGCTTCCAAAACAAGAAAGGGGGGGATAAAAAAAAAAAACCTTACTACAGGAATTCAAACCCTGCTTCCACCAGACCCTGAGTCACCTCCCCTCCCTTGCAATAGATCAGAGCAATGGGTAAACATTTCCAAATATGGAGATCAAAACTCCAAAGGATGTCAAGGAAAAAAAAATCACCCTTCTCTCCCTGGCTTTGGCACAGGGATGACTTGCCCCTCTGAAGCATGAGCTGAGCACATTGCCTTTGCTGACCTACACAGAGCCTGGACATGGGGCCACACATAATCACCTTCAACTGTGCTTCAGAGGCTCCTGGCATGATGGGTGACACTGCATCTCTGTCCCCTCCTAGGGATGCACAGGAAGATTCAATGGGAGCAACTCCAGGAGTTGTTGCTGCTCCACCCCTGCAATAAACTTCTCTTTCATTCCTCAACTCACCAGCAGAAAACCTCCTAGAACTACTTTTTAGTGTTCTCTGAAGGCAAATAGGCAGATTCAGGCTGTGGCTATAGCAACATCAGCTTGGCCCAGAAAAGGCAGGCTCAGCCATCAGTCACACCACATCCCACACTGGCTGCTCACCTGGCACAGGGAGATCTCCCCTGAGCTGGCTCATCAAGCTAGTGCTTTATGAAGAGCATGTATTTGAACTTGCATTATGAAAAAAAAAAAAACATAAAAACAAAAGATAGCACTGCAGAAAGGCACAGACTGAAGGACAAGACAAGATCCCTACAGGTACAAAGAGCCCCAGGATGGCAGCACCCATCAATTCCTGCTGGGACACACAGCACTGTATCCTATGGTGGGAACTGGGGAGCACCCAGCCTCCCTACCCCTGGAAAAGGGACTTTAGTGTCAATGCTCAAACACACAAGCCAAGTTTAAGAGGCAGTTTTCTTAGAGGGCATAACTACCCCCGCAGAGCCTGCATGCACAGCAGAGCAACATCCCCATGCCAGCACTGCCTCAAGCATCAGCCCTCAGCAGCAAAGGCTGACCTGCAGGCAGCAGGAGCTGACTCTGCCTGCCAGCAGCCTCCTGGTAGCTGCAGCCATGGCTCCAGGGGCAGGCAGCCTCTCAGGAATGTGCACAGCAGGACATTTTCAAGGCAAACAGGCTGCCGAGGCCAGGCGATCCAACCAGACCAGAGTGATTCCCCAGCACCACCCACAAGATGCTATTGAATTTATAGGGAAGGAATTCCAGAGCTGACTCTGCCCATGTATGGCCAAAACAAACTGTAAAAAAGCAACATTACAGTACATCTGGCTTTCCCTGGTACTGAGGCACAGGCTTTGGGAGGAGCTGAAATCCTGCAGTGACAGAGGCTCTGCAATTACCTCCAGGAACTGAGCAGTGGTCTGGGCCCGCGGCAACAAGAGTTTAGCACCCACAGGTGACAGAAAACATTTAAACCATTGCTTTAAAAGGTAACAAAGTTCTCTGCCTTTTAGAATACACCCACATTTAACTCAGTGATCCATTGCTACCACTGCAAAAAAAAAAATCAACCTTGCCAGGCAGCACCAACACACGCTCATTACCCTGGTGGTCATAAAGGCAGCTCTAAAGAGTCAACAGTCCAAGTGGCACTAAGTCATACACCAGGACAACACCAATGCATTGCAGGCTGGGACTAGCTCTCTATGGGTAGCTGATTAATTATTTTTCCAAAAGCCCCTAAAACCTCCCACAGGAGCTGTGTGCCCCAGCCAGCATCAGGGTCACCTGGAGATTTCTCCATGGTCAGAAACAGGAGGATACTCACAAAACCAATGTAAAAAGTGTCAGGTTTGCGCATGTTTTACCAACTCTGATTCAAGTTTTGCAGCAGAAAAGGGATGGGGAACACCTGGAAGAACAAAAACCCCATCACAGGCACACACCAGCCCTTAAAGCTCTGGTGTCCCACCAGAGTTGAACAGATCAAAGTTGTCCCTAAGAGTTAAATGCCACCACCTTGCCTGCCCTGCCAGCAGAGAAATATTAGTTGTGTCAGCGTGAGAGGCAGAGGGCTTACAGAATGGGAGAGGAATGCAGGCTGCAGTGGCACACGTGGTGGGGACAGGGACGTTAAACCCAGGGGAGCGAGGCTGCTCACACTGCCTCTGCCTTTGAAGAGCGGTCAGGCAGGGTACATCTTATGGCTCTTGGGGTTGAAACCTGGGGCTAACACTTTTGTGACCTTAGATGGACTCCCATTTCAGCAGGGAGGAGAGCTGTTAAGAACGGGTGGGAGCACAGGGGCCTGAGCAGATGAGGACAAGCCATTCCCCAGCTCCTGGCAGGCAGCCCAGGACTGCTCTCCAGTGTGTGCAAGTTACACCCATCAAACCAGGATCGAGCACATGGCTCCTCGGGCTGCACTTGCTGATGGGAGACTCACAGTATGGCTACTCCCCCAGCTTGACTTTCCCCAGGACAGCACTAGGATCTCCCCTCCTTTTCCCAGCTGAAATGGCTTTACACCTCTCTTGCTACTGTGCTCACTTTAAAACAGAGGCACCTAAGCACCTGTGTTCAGCAACTCTGCTTCAGAACACCTCCCACCCCAAACAATACAGAGGAGGAAAACCAGAGGGATGGACATATCCGTGTCCAACCACAGCCTAACTAGGAGTTCTCTGCTACATGGCAACACAAATCCTCCTCCTTGCCACAGGAGTAAGCTTGGGAAGTGAAACCTTGGGGGTCTGGGAATAAAATCTGACTTAAGCCTCCTGCACAGCAGTACAGATCATTATAAAGCAGCCACTGGGTCACGGGTGGCTAATTTAAATGAAAAATTACAAATTACATAAGCAGGATGACTGAGAATATTTGATTCATAAAAATATCTTGAATGGGCAGAGAACAGAGGGACTGCTGCAGAATCATAGGGACACAGGCCATGTAATGCAGATAGCAAGGACCAGGGATGCTCAGACATACAGATGCACAACCATGCACACAAATGCCTGCTCCTCTACCATGCACAAAGGCAGATTTAGGACTTGCAAGCTGAAGTCCTGTGCAGTCAAAAGCCAGCACAAATGTTTGTGACAGTTCCACAAGCAAAGGCAAAAACCGGGTGCAGAGGAATAAATATAGAAAGAAGTCAGGCAGGCAAAGCAGGTGCTGGCTTGTAAAACCTTGGCCAGAAAGGCTCCCCAGGAGGTTGAATCTGGTAGTTTTGCAACAGCTCCACAGAAAGACAGAAGAGACAGAAAGAAAAAAAGAGAACATGAATGCATATGCATTCTTTAATCGCCATATATAGTACATACAGACATTTGGTATATACACCCCCGAGCTCTCATATGCCACTGTATAGTATATACTATATATGCACTGCCATCTTTGTTTCCATGTGCCTACACTTGCACAGCCTGTGTCTGTGTGTGTGTATGCATTTCTGCTGTGTGCATTTGTCATTACCCCCACGTTGCCTCTCTGTGCGTGCTGTGACACCACACATCTCTCCACAGAGCGTGTCTAAAGCCTCAGCACCACAGCCTGGGATGACTCCTGGACACTCACAGCCTCTCACTGCTGAGCCCTTCCCCACCAAAGCCTCTGGGTGTAAGCACCACCAGGGAACCATCACCTTGTCTTGTATTTTCCACTGATCCCACTCTCCCTCCAAACTTTGAGAGCCATGAACAAGGTGCCACTGTCAGAAAAGCCTGACATCCTTCTTGTCCCTTGTGCCTGTGAATTGTGTTTACATACCAGTTCTCACGCTGCACAGCCTTACTGGTGGGATGAACTCGGAGCAGGGCGTTTGGAAACACGCAGGGCTCCACCAGACTCACGACTTTGGGTTTCTTTCCCAGCCCTGAAAAGAGAGAGACTTGAGTAATGCACACTGGATGGGCTTCCCAACAGCTTGTCTCTAAAGCCAGCAGTTTAACCCACACAATTTCTGGGAAATGCAGTATTTTCCTTCCCAGCTTTCTCAAGCAGACGTGTCCATACTCCTGGATTCCTTTTAGCACCTCCAAAAGCAAAACCCACTACCCTGAACTGGGCCAGTGACCAGCAATGACCAGAAATGTCAGCTGCTAGAGTCTGGCCAACAACTTACACCTCCTCAAGTCACTGCTCCTTTACTGCTCTTAATGCCATTGAGAAGGGAAAGGGATAAAGAGATACCAAATGAGGCATAAGAGTACGGGGTGAACCACATCATTCTTCTCTGGCCTTGGGCAGAGTGAGGGAGCTAGAAGGCACCATTTAAGGCATTTTGAAGCTCATGGGGTTACCATTACTGTGAGCAGAGCTACACCAGCAGCCTTCCCCCTCAGCACAGCCTTTTGTCTCTGGAGCCCTGTACAATTCCCAGTGGGGACTATCTATCTCACCCTTTCCTGAAGCTGAGAAGCAGACACCACCTTCTCTTGATGTGACCTGCTCAGTGTTGTGCTTTCCCCTTCTGCAGATGATGAAGTTAGAGCAGAGGGGACAACCAGGCCCCGTGGCATAGGACATGCCAGGACACATGTCAGGGTGCATCCTACAGAGACCAGCAGCATCTGAGGCACACACTCCTTCCTGTCCCCATCAGCCCTGGCCAGCATCCCGTCCCAGCCACATCCTGGTCACTCCAATGCCCTATCTCTGCCCATGACAAGCACAAGCTTGTCAATGCAGCTCAGCAGAGAAAGCTTCTGCTATTTGCTGCTGTCACGATGGAAAAACTCAGTTCAGACTTGTTATACCTGTTATACTTTGTTATACCTGTGCTGTTCATGATGGTGCACATGAGCCCACAAACCTACAACACACAAGGAGCAAAATGCGTTGGTGGCTCATGGTCCAAGGCCCTCTTCCCTGTCCCACAGTGAGATGGCTTCCTGCCCTTCCAACACGCCTTGTCCCCCATGCAATGTCTGAGGCTACAACATTCAGGAGAGTGGCAGGGCTTTTGCTTCTCCCAAGCAGAGGCATGTGTCCATTGTGCCAACACCACAAGAGCACAATGAGCTTCATTCTGACCCAGCTCAGTCCCATGGTCCCTGTGCTGGCACCCAGCCCTGATTCACCACAGGGATGGGCAGGTCTGAAAGTCCCCAAGACAATCAGAGCTCCCCTAAGGTGTTATAAGGAGAAAACCAACTGGAAATTCCAATGGCCTCTCCCTCTCACTGCAAGGATGAAGATGAGTAACTGCAGAGGTTTACTGCTGATGAACTGAGCCAAAGAGCAATTTCTCTCCATCCATCAACAAGGAGACAAGAACAAGCAAATATTATGGCTGTGCATGTTTACTTTTCATTTTAAAATGATGTAGAGTTACATACAATTTAGGTCCTTCCCACAGGCTCCTGGCAAAATGCCCTCCAGTCTTATCAGCAAAAGCAGGAGACAACAACACTCCCCTCTGATTCCAACACTATTTCAGTTCAACTCACAACAACCCCTCCAGGAGATCCAGGTAAGACAATACTTCTTGGAACCCAACCTTTGTTTAAAAATCTTGGTTCAGGATTGTCTCTCACCAGGTTTAACTCACAAAATGTTTACAAGATCGGTGATAGGATTTGGCCAGTTGAACTGCATCTTCCTGGCTTTGCTTCCCTCATCAGCTGTCCCTGTCACCTGTGACTGGGTTCCTGCAGCAAGGTGAGCAGGACACCACATACCCTCCTTGAGGCACCCAGCTGAAAACTTGTTGTGAAACCACCCTCTCAGCAGCAAAGCAGGCACTCCATCCTGGCAGCACATCCACAGGTGAGCAGGACAGGGACAGCCTGCCTGGTCACAGCAATACCCATCCAAGCCAGTCTGTCAGACTACTCCAATAAAGACAAAATGATCAGAAGAAGTTCATGCACTCACTGGCTGACAACAGTGACGCAGTATTACTGACGGTAAGAATCAATGTTTCTCAAGAAAAAAATAAATATGAACTTAACACACAAGTACAGAAAGTAACTTTTTCTGTTTGCAGATTGAAATCTAAAACCAGTAGTTTACAAGGCCTGAATTTAAGAATCAGTCCTGTGTTATTGCTTAAGTTTTCTTAGATTTTTCAGGAATTGACAGTGGAAAAACATCTGCAATAATTCCAAGTTTTAAAGAACAGAAGTCAGCACTTTCAGAAAAACAGGTATCCCTAACACAACTCCACAGTGGCCACGTAGAAATGGAAGTAACCAGACACCACAGTCCCTATAAATGAAAATCTAGCAGTGAAAATGACTTCAGCTAATTACACTTCTCCCAGAACAGCTTGGTTTGAATGGCATCTGTTTTTCTGACTACTCAAAAGCTGCATTCACTTTTAATCTCCTTTACACTTGAAAGCGTTACCAATATTTAGAGCCTATTTTTTACTATTATTATATTTATATCAGCATAGCTGTACTTGTTGAAGCCCAAGTGCAAACACCAGTTGAAGTGGGATAAAGCAGCCTTGTGCTGGGATTCTTTGTTCCATTCCTTCAAGAAGCAGATGGCTCAACCTGACAGCCACAAGGAAAATTGTCATTTTAACTGTTCCACTCACCAATTTTTAAACACAGACAAGCTCTCAGCCAGTCACCCATCAGCACGAACTGACATGGGTCCCCCCGCTTTGATTGGCAGGTGCATGAACAGTTCCCCAGATGCCAACTTCATTCAATCTGACCTTTTCACTTTAAATGAAAACCACTTAAAAGCCTGCCCTGTTCTGACATATGTCTTTTTATGTCTTTCCCACTCTTTGCCAATATATGTGTTATTTGCTGGCCAAAGTTCCCAAACTCAGAATTCTCACGTTATCTCCTCCACTGCCAGAGCCCTGACCCTCAGGCACTCTGGCCACTGCAAGCGCTGAGGGAGCTGTCTGAGATCTCCACATTCTCACACATTGGAAAAATCAGACCCCTTTCACGCAAACCTCAATTTGAAGTCCAGCTTTGACTTAAAATTCAGCTTATATGCATTGGTAGCTTTACACCTGAACACAGCCATACATAGACAGGTACTCATCTTTCTACACTGGGGACAGTGACACATGCAGGATCTGGCCCTAACAGTTTTCTGTGTTAGCATCTGTGCTTCTCAGGTTTCATGGATTAAAATTAAACTGCTCGATTCAACAGTACACTGCTGAAGTTATCTAACAAAAGGATCACACGAGACAACAAAAGCTGAGGACGTGTTTCCCCTGCTCTGCTTCCAGCACAGCACCTGCTCAGGGAGTCACCAACACAAACAGCCCAGCTGCTGCCTTTTGGGGTGTCAGATCCTGTGCTGGTGAAAAGCAGTGACTCTGTGAATGGTTTCAGTCTGCAAGGAAGCACACACCCCTCCCAGATAGCACTCAGGACGGAGCTACTTCCAATCCCACCACAACCCCATGTGTCAAAATTAGCTATAATGGGGCTTATCACTTCCGAGCTCCTGGTCCAGGCCTTGTCCTGGAGGAAAGCTGATCCTGACCACAGCACACACCATCAGCTTGGGTGGGGACAATGAGCTCCCATAAGGGAGCAAACTCCCTGGAAGCCCTACGTGCTGCAGGGTGCAGAGCCTGGTACTAAAAGCATTGCCCCAAAGGAGCCCCAAGGTCCCCCAGCAATGCACAGCAGGCTTTGGGACCAGGATATATATTTTTGCCTTTGCAGTCTCACTTGATTTTAGGTTTGTCCTGGTATTCATTAAACATGACTAAAACAAGAGGGGGAAAATTAGTTAGGAGAACAGAAAGGAAAAGAGAACACTTCAGCACAGAAGGGATGGGATCCAACTTCCACTGAAGGGATGGCATCCAGCTGCCCCAGAGATTGGTGTATTATAGGAAATGAAAAGATCATTTGGAGCAGAACAGATCTAAACAGCAGCTAAGGAAGCTGTGAGACAGCCCTACCAACAGCATCCCAGGAGCCACCCTGAGCTGGAACCACTGGGCCATGATGGTCAGGAACCAACCCAAAAGCAGGACCAGCCATGCTGCACTGCTGTTATTTTAAATGCCCAAGGACAGCTAGAAGAAAAGAGTGGCTAAGGAGCGAGAGGAATCAGCATGTCTGTGCCAGAAAGCCTGAAGGTCCCATGCTGGAGCAGCCTTTCAGCAGCTCCTGTCACTGCCAGCAGCACTGCCTGTGATTTACATGTCTGTAACTGACACCAGGATTGGATCCTGTATTTTCAAGCACACACTACTGACCTCACGCTGCTCACACTCCCTCAGCTTACTGGAATATTTTCAAAACAGCCTCAGTGAGTTTTATTTTCATTTTTCTTTTTTCCCCCACTGTTTGCCGTCTGCATTTCACTAAGCCTGGTCAGAGACACCCTGAGCAAGAGGGGGGCACTTCCACTTTCTCACTCAAATGCACCCCAGCTTCTTGATCAAAGAAGGACAATCAATTATGCAGTATCAGAGTACTACAGATCCTGGGTTTCAAACAATGGACAATGGATAAAGTTTTTCAACCCAAAACATAAAAGACACCATTCTCTCACTTCCCAAGGAATGGCCATCCTCCCCAGGCAGCCCCAGCAGAACAGTGCCCTCATACACCTCCCTGTGTTTAAGGTGCTTGGTCAAGGAAAACACACTGACAGTGCCCAGGAGCATAGGGAGCAGAGCAGTGCTGTGCTACAAGGCAGGAGCCCAGGCCAGGGTCTCCTGCAGCCTGCTTTTAAGCTGAAATCTCCCAGGGCAGAGGTGGCACATGTTTGCTGTGCCCAATCTAAGGGGTTTATGGTAACGTTTTATAGTAAAGCTTAATGTTCCCTTAACCATTGTGGTTTTAAATGGCCAAAATTTGAAGGCAGAGAACATCTTCTCCCAGGCTTGCTCAGGTGCCACTACAATGAAACCCCTGGCAGCACAGCAGGCCCTCTTATCCTTCAAGCCATTTGTAAAAGAAACTTTAAAACTTGGAGCCTTTATGACCAGACAGTCTTCCTGTTCAAGGCTTACATTTTTGGCCAATCATTTGAAAACAGCAACAAATAGCTGGCAGACAACTGGATTCCACACTCCTGTGCCCACGTGGTCAGACTCGGTATTTTTGAAAACATTATAATCCATAGAGATGTTTAAAAAAGCAGAAACAACCAGGATCAGTAAATCCCTCTGGTTTAGAAATGTTTGCCCCTCCAAGCATTAACCATCTTTTTTCACCTTCATACCTTAATATCAAAAGTATTTAAGTCCAGGACTGGCCTGCCCCCATCTCAGATTTAAAACAAATACCTCCAGGTAGGATGAGCATGTATTAAACAAAAAAAAAACCCAAAACTTTCTCAGTGTTGCTGCTCCCCTTTCCAAAGAGCTGCTGGGACAGGCCAAAGAAGCTTATTCCTTCAAGAAAAAAAAAGGAAAAAGCTTGGATGGGGCAGAGAGGCCCAGGTAAACGTGGTCATGTGGCAATCACCCAGCAGCATGTGGAGCAGCCTCACCACCAACTGCACCTCATAAAAACATTT